AAGAGCGTCCAGCAAAGAGGATGTACAGCAAAACACCCTCCTCTGACCCAGCATTTCATCAGCCCTGCTTTGATGAATTTTTATTTTTTATTTCAGAGTTCTGTAGCATCAGAAGACCCAGAGCAGTGTCAAGGACAGCTTTCAGATTCAAGTTTGTATCTGGGTATTTACACAAACAGACTCCAAGTACATAAAAAATAATTCTCCGTAAATTGCAAAGCAGCAGCAGAGCTGTCAACACCAGCACAGCCCCTTGGGCAGCCCTTGCTCCAGGGACAGAATCCCCTGCTCCAGGGGCTGGGAGAGGAGTCAGTACTGAGGCTGCAGGGCAGGACTAGGACTTGGTTTGAAATTGAGATTTGCTCTTACCTGCCAACAACCCGATGAGGAGCATCAACAACCAGCCAGAAAAGGCGTCGCTCACGCTGTGGATCAGGGCCCACGTGGACTCTTTACTCCTGCTGGTGATCTGGATGAGTTGTTTTCACAAAGAAACAGCAAACTGTTAGGAGACTGGTCTGCTTTGGTGCAAATGCTCTAAACACTACATGGTGCTGCTGACAGTGGAAGACAGCCCCTGATATTCAGAAGAGCTGCTATCATGACATGTTCTGCTTGGAGGGGTGAGAGGAAAAGCATCAGGCAGAGGCTGGTCCAGCAAATGCAGCTCTGGTGAGAAGATGTGCAAGAATGGATCAAGGATACTTTCATTTTTCCCGACAAAACAGAAAGTACCCAAGTAATGCTTTCCTCCTAGCTGTGCTCTGCATCAAAACAAGACAAAACTCATCCCTTCACCATGTAAGGCTGTTACTTTAACGGCCAGTCCCGAACACCGAGGCCAGCAGCAAACCTCAACACTGAAGAACCCACTACAGCACTCTGACCCAGCAATCAGTACCTGAGAGCAACCAGGACCTGTTCCCAGCATATCACAGTCCCCAGCTCCTGCCTCCACACCCAAAATACAACCTGGAGGCTGCTCTGAGCAGAGCAGACCCTGCCAAGCACTGCCCAGCCGGTCACAAAGGGTTCACCAGTTTAACACCGGTTCAGAGAAATGGTCAGGCTGGGAACCAGGCTGTGCTGTGCTGGTGCCACTGGGAAGAGGGACCCAGACCAGTCCAAGGGTCTTCAGAGGCTCTGGCCCCGTCTGGCAGGGCCAGCTGAAGCCTGTCAGTCTCACTGCTCCCGACAGGCAGACAAAAGGGTGACAGAACAGCTATTGTGTGCCCCACTCACCCTGCTGCCTCTCCCAAGGGAAACATTCCAATAGACCGCTATTATTCCCAGATAAAAAGGCACATTGATGCAAACAACTAATACTCACTAAATGAGGAATAAATGAAGTAAGAATCCTTTCTGCCTGAATGAGTGTCCTTTGGGTTTTTCCTCTGGATTTTTGTCTTTCAAATGCCACACTGCTCAGGAGTGCAACAGCTACCAAACCCAGGGGTGCCAGAACTGCTTTATTTCTTTCCACCAGACCCAGGCTACACCTCCTTGGCCAGCAGTCACTTCTGCCTTGACCCCATTTCAGCTTCATTCGATAAAGACAGAAGTGGGTTTTTTTATATCAGCATCTCTGCAGATGGGAAATAATTGTCCTGTTCCAGGCTGATAAGCACCCTCTTTGCACGCACACATCAATGTGTGGGGCACACGTGACAAGTCCCTGGGTCTGAACTCTTAATCCTTCAATGGGAGCAGTTTTCTGGGCAGGAGGCTGTGGTGGCATGAAGCCCCTTAACTGGGTCTGTACTCACTCAGGTTTGGGCATTATATTGTACTATGTGCACTCAGAGTGAGCAGGGACCTGTTCAGTTTGTGCACTGTTATTAAGATACAAGTTGCTTTGTTAAGCTCAGGGAAAAAAAAAGATTATCAAAGAATATTTTAGCAAGCAAATTGACAAGCTGAGCTCAGCTATCATCCTACAACAGCTCTGCCTGCAAGGCCTTCTCATGAATCAGGAGCATGCAAGGGACATTGGCAATTTCTTTAAAGCATCCCTTGCTTCACAAGCAGATTCCTTCAGTTGCAGAGAGCACTGCAGTCCCAGGAATGAATTCTGAAAGAACTGCACTTGGTTTTGCAGCACAAAACAACTCCAGTAGAAAGAGCATCATTCCAAGTGCAATTGCATGAGCAGAAAGGCAGTCAGCTTCTTGACCAACAAACAGGATCAGGGGTGCTCAGATTCCTCCAGAATAAACCATGCAGTAGCAAGGTCATTCTTCCAATACCACAGGAACCTTCCATGGGCAGGAGAGGTTGTGCCAGGCTTCAGAGCTGAGCAAGTTTAACATGGTGTAAGAAAATGTGCCAGTAGGGCACTTCAGGTGTGAACCAGGAACCCAACTAGAGCTTTTTAAATAAATAAAAGCCCTTAGGAGAGGAGCAGCAACTGATAAACTGCAGCATGTTCAATTTAGATTTCCTTTTCCTCAAACTAAAGATCCCATGGAGAGGTTTTCAGTTCCCACCCTACATCCCAGGTGTTCTCCAGCCAGTGCCTCCCCAGTCAGGCAACCAGAAGGAAGCTCAGCTCTAGCAAAGGAACTGTTGTGGCAGAGCCAGTGAGGAGCAGTGAGAAGTGTTACCTCTCTGTGCCTGTCCCGGTCCCTGGACTTCTCTCGCACCCAGTCGATAGTGTTAAAGTCTTCGTAGGTCCCCACACCAGGAAGAGGCTCCTCCAGGAAATCCATCATTGTGCTTGTGCCATTCATCCCTCCTCCATTATACGAGGAAAATCCTGGGTGGAAAAAAAAGAGCATTTCTTAAGTTTCCCCTCTTTTTAGTAAAAAAAAAACCCCAACCCATCACCAAAACAGGAACATAGTGGGAAACCCAGAGTGGAAGCAAAGAGCCAACAAACTGTTCCTTGGGCCTCCCAGGAACGGCCTGGGCAGTGCAGGTGTGCCCTCCAGCTCCAGCAGATCACAGAGATGGGATCCTTCTTGCAAACAACTGGTCAGAGCCAAAGTAACTCAACACAAACACCTAAGTGCTGACTTTACCCTAAATCCAGAACTTTTGCCATTAGAGGAAAGCAGAGGGGAGAGGGACAGGATAAGAACATTCGAGACCCCCAGCAGAGCTGCAGGCAGTCCCAGGTGGATCTGGTGAAGATTTTTGATCTGAAAAGAACCTTTAAAACCCTCATCAATGTAACATTTGCTCCTTCAAAAAAAGGTTTCTCAAAGCCCCTTGCAAGCAGTTTGAAAAAGCTGTTGAAACACACCAAGGAAAAACAAAACAAAGGTCTTTTAAACCTTATCCAAGGAAATCAAGCCCTTTTCTTGACAGATGAGTCGACGTGGAACAAGTTTTTCTCTGCAATTCAGCCCAAGCTTCATTCCTTTGCTTGTACAAGCCCCAAGGCCCCTGCTCCAAGTCAACACCAACACAATCCTTCATCAGTTACTCCATTTCTTTTTCTTTCTAAGCCACCAAATGCTGAAAGGGCAAAAAGTGCCTGGGTTGCTCCGAGAAACTCTGTTCAACTTCAGCAGAGGTGAAAGGTTCCCTGCAGCTGATTACCTGCCATGCAAAAGCATCCTCAGAACTTGCCAGTGATGCTCCTTCACACATAGAACACCAGTTTCCAAACTCCCCTGAGCAGCCTTTCATGCTTCTCACTCCCAAAGGCCCTCTCTACAACCCTGACACTTCCCAACCTATGAACACACCTGCTAGTGCTACCTGAAGGGTTTTCTTCCCCATTTCTAAAAATTAAAAACCACCCTAAAGGCGAATCACCATTACCAAAGCACAGGGACCAGGAAGGGCTGCTGGGAGCTTCCAGCTGGCAATCCTCTGTTGCACAGACCAACAGCAGCTCTGAAGGTCTTTTAAAACAGTCTTGTCAATGCACATTGCTGGTTGGAAAAGAAGAGTAAGGTGCTGGCAGCCAGCTGACCTGCAGGCTGAGCCATCTCAGCAGGCAGCTGCCAGCCTGGAGCCAACCAAAAGGGAGAGGAGCACAGAAAAGGAACGAGAAAGCAGTAAGAGACTGAATTCCTCCTCACCAGCCCATTTCTCCCCCAAGCTGGGAACCTCAGCCTTAAATACCCAGAAATCACTTCCTTGGCAATCCCCAGCACACCAAAGCACTGACACCCCATGTGCTCAGCAGAGCAGGCCTGGGTTCACACACTCCCAGCAATCCCCACCAGTAGGACAGAAACCAGGCATGTCCTTCCTGCAGCAACAGGAGCTTCCGAGGGCTCCCATGGAGACATGGCCAGGGGGGCTGGTTTTCAGACCTGGGCAGGAGAGTAAATCTAAGCCTGGCTCTGTAATGCTCTAAGTGCTCAGTCACCCAGAAGGGAAAGAAAGAAGCAAAACTCAAAATCCAGTCAACTTGGAAAGATGGAAGGGAAAAGGAGTATTAAAACTCCCATAGGGAAGGATAATGTTTAATATTTAATTTAGCATGTTTAGGTTGCAGATACCACCATGGCAAAGACATCTTAGGTTAAGAAGTAAGGAATTCACACAATTGCTCTCTAAAAACAAACAAAGGGAAGAGAGACCTACAGTGTCTTCCCAAGCCCATTCCCAGATTGGTGCAGCAGCCTCTTAAGAGAGAAGCTGCAGGAAAACAAGATGAGTCATATAGCACAACTGACAGCTACCACAGAATAACCACTTAAAAAAGGCTCCTTGCTTCATTTGGGACAAAAAAAGGTTCACTGAAGTTCTCCAGAGATGATGTGAGCGTGCAGACCACAAGCCCCACCTGCCCTGGAAGGAACACAGAGCACATTCCCCCAGAGCCTCGAGGAATTTCTGTTTTTAACAACATTTTTGCACTTGTAAAGCCAACAGCTCAGAAATACACAAACCAACCTCAACGCTTGAGACCTCCCTGTGCAAATATTCCCACTGGAAATCCCAAGCACTGTTCTACAAATCTGACAGACCAAAACCTCCTTAATACACCCTAATAACAACAGACAACCAGGCCGAGCATGTGCCGAGACACTTGCAGCTCCTTCTGCCTTCCTGCAGAAATCCCCCTGGACAAGGGCTGCCCCACAGCCCCCCAGGGCAGGGAACCCAGACTGGGGATCCACGGTGGTCACAGCACTTCCAGAGCAGGTTCAGCCTCTGGCAGGGGGGTGTCTGAAGCTTTGCTCAGTGAGGGTGACAGGTCCCTACCAAGCCCAGCAATGCAGAAGACAGTGAGCCCACCTTGAGAAAGGACAGCTGAACAACTGCCCCCCTGCACATGCAGCTCCCAGAGCCAAGCAGCCCTGCCAGAAAAATTTGCTTTTGTCTCTGCAGGAATGAACAGCTCTTCTAGGAGTGCAGTAACTCCTGTCTCCATCCTGCAGTCAGCAGGATTTCACTGGCTGCTCCACTTTACTTTGGCACACCTACCAGCATCTCTCCTAAAGACATCCAGATACAGTTGTCCCCAAAAAATATATGAAAGCAGAGTTAAACCTAGTTAACTGAGACTACTTTGAGAAGTATCTTCTGCGAGAAGATGAGATCAGGGTCATTCCTTGCTCACTCTTCTGGAATAACTGCCCAGACCAGTGACTTTTAGCTGTCCTAGGAATGCTCTCCCAGCCACAGAGCAACTGCCAGGGGCAGTTTGGAGACAGATCCTGATCCAGCCCCACTCAGCCCAGCCCACCACTCCTCAAGCAGCAGGATTTAAGTTACAAAAGCAGAGCCCTGAGGTTTCCAGGCACAACTTCACAGCCATGTCAGTGGACACACTGCTCATCTGACCAAAGATAATGAGACAACATCCTTTCCCCCCCCCAAGAAGTAACACCAAACTATAAAATGGCTGAGAGCCATAAATATTTATCAAGATCCTATTTCCTGCCTTGGCTTGTTAAAAATCAGGGATCCTAGGATAACCAGACAGGAATAGAGGAAGAGAACGAGCTCAGTAACACCACTACCAAGATGAGCACACAGGTCTCCCCAGTTCCTCATGCAGGGATCTCCCAGTCAGTATGTGATGCCTAGAGCCAGCCAGCTGAACTGCAGCCTGGCAGGGAAGCACAGCCCAGTCTTCAGAGATCCGTTAGCGTTCTGATCCCTGCTTCTCCCCAGAATGGATTAATGCCCCACTTCAGTCTGCCTGGCTTGAAAAACCCACCAAACCAGACAACTTGCTGAAGCTCCCGGCACGTGCCCCTGCAGCACAGCAGAGCCGAGGGGCTCTGGGCACAGGGACCCCCAGCATCACCTCCCGGGAGAGCTCTGCCTCCCCAGCGCCCTCCCCGCTGCCGGGAAACCTGGGAAGAGGAAGGGTTTTGCCGACAAAAGGGAGACTGGCAGTCAACAACCATTACACAGCACAAACCCAGCAGATCCCCCCGGCATCCCGCCCTGCCCCACCGCCCCTTCCC